TAGAGATTGATTCCCTTCTTTTAGCCCAAAAGGCATCTCATTGTTGATTCGCAATTGGTTCTCTTTATCTTTGGGTTTTTATTAAGAAATTTTTAGAAACTGAGACTTACTTCAGGGAATTTAAAGAAAAAAAAAGAATCTAACCAAAACTTTTTTAAATCAAGTTTTCATATATGACCAGGATGGCCGAGAGGTTAAGGCGTTGGACTTAAGATCCAATGGACAAATGTCCTCGTGGGTTCGAACCCCACTCCTGGTAGAGATTGATTCCCTTCTTTTAGCCCAAAAGGCATCTCATTGTTGAATTGCAATTGGTTCTCTTTATCTTTGGGTTTTTATTAAGAAATTTTTAGAAACTGAGACTTACTTCAGGGAATTTAAAGAAAAAAAAGAACCTAACCAGAACTTTTTCAAAATCAAGTTTTCATATATGACCAGGATGGCCGAGAGGTTAAGGCGTTGGACTTAAGATCCAATGGACAAATGTCCTCGTGGGTTCAAACCCTACTCCTGGTAGAGATTGATTTTTTTCTTTTTGCCCAAAAGGCATCTCAATGTTTGAATCACAATTGGTTCTCTTTATCTTTGGGTTTTTATTAAGAAATCTTTAGAAACTGAGACTTACTTCAGGGAATTTAAATTAAAAAAAAAGAATTTAACCAGGACTTTCAAATCAAAATTTCATATATGACCAGGGTGGCCTAGAGGTTAAGGAGGTGGACTTTTAAGATCCAATGGACAAATGTTGTTGTGAGTTTGAACCCCACTTCTGGTAGATATTGATTTCTTCTTTTAGTCCAAAAGGCATCTCAATGTTTGACTTGCAAATTGATTCTAAATAACTTTGAGTTTTTATTAAGACATTTTTAGAAACTGAGACAAAATATAGGGATTTAAAAAAAAAAAGAATTTAACCAAAATCTTTCTGCATATAAGACCAGGATGGCCGAGAGGTTAAGGCGTTGGACTTAAGATCCAATGGACAAATGTCCTCGTGGGTTTGAACCCCACTCCTGGTAGAGATTGATTCCTTCTTTTAGCCAAAAGGCATCTCATTGTTGATTCGCAATTGGTTCTCTTTATCTTTGGGTTTTTATTAAGAAATTTTTAGAAACTGAGACTTACTTCAGGGAATTTAAAGAAAAAAAAGAATTTAACCAGGTTTTTATGCATATAAGACCAGGATGGCCGAGAGGTTAAGGCGTTGGTCTTAAGATCCAATGGACAAATGTCCTCGTGGGTTCAAACCCCACTCCTGGTAGAGATTGATTACCTTCTTTTAGCATAAAAAGGCATCTCATTGTTGATTCGCAATTGGTTCTCTTTATCTTTGGGTTTTTACTAAGAAATTTTTAGAAACTGAGACTTACCTCAGGGAATTTAAAGAAAAAAAAAGAATTTAACCAGGACTTTTCTGGAAATAAGACCAGGTTCCCCGAGAGGTTAAGGCGTTGGTCTTAAGATCCAATGGACAAATGTCCTCATGGGTTCGAACCTCACTCCTGGTAGAGACTGATTCCTTCTTTTAGTCCAAAAGGTATCTCATTGTTGATTCGCAATTGGTTCTCTTTATCTTTGGGTTTTTATTAAGAAATTTTTAGAAACTGAGACTTACTTCAGGGAATTTAAAGAAAAAAAAAGAACCTAACCAAAACTTTTTTAAATCAAGTTTTCATATATGACCAGGATGGCGAGAGGTTAAGGCGTTGGACTTAAGATCCAATGGACAAATGTCCTCGTGGGTTCGAACCCCACTCCTGGTAGAGATTGATTCCCTTCTTTTAGCCCAAAAGGCATCTCATTGTTGATTCGCAATTGGTTCTCTTTATCTTTGGGTTTTTATTAAGAAATTTTTAGAAACTGAGACTTACTTCAGGGAATTTAAAGAAAAAAAAAGAACCTAACCAAAACTTTTTTAAATCAAGTTTTCATATATGACCAGGATGGCCGAGAGGTTAAGGCGTTGGACTTAAGATCCAATGGACAAATGTCCTCGTGGGTTCGAACCCCACTCCTGGTAGAGATTGATTCCTACTTTTAGCCCAAAAGGCATCTCATTGTTGATTCGCAATTGGTTCTGTTTATCTTTGGGTTTTTATTAAGAACATTTTTAGAAACTGAGACTTACTTCAGGGAATTTAAATAAAAAAAAAAGAATTTAACCAGGACTTTTCTGCATATAAGACCAGGATCCCCGAGAGGTTAAGGCGTTGGTCTTAAGATCCAATGGACAAATGTCCTCGTGGGTTCGAACCTCACTCCTGGTAGAGACTGATTCCTTCTTTTAGTCCAAAAGGTATCTCATTGTTGATTCGCAGTTGGTTCTCTTTATCTTTGGTTTTTTATTAAGAAATTTTTAGAAACTGAGACTTACTTCAGGGAATTTAAAGGAAAAAAAAAAGAATTTCACCAGAACTTTTCAGTTATTTGACATATATTACCAGGATGTCCTAGAGGTTAAGGAGTTGATCAAAAGATCCAATGGACAAATGGCTTTGTGAGTTTGAACCTCACTCCTGATAGAGATTGATTTCATTTTTTACCCCAAAGGCATCTCAATGTTTGATTCTCAAATTGATTCTGTTTATCTTTGGGTTTTTATTAAAAACATTTTTAGAAACTGAGACATACTTCAGGGAATTTAAAGTAAAAAACGATTTTAACCAGGACTTTTTTAATACAAGTTTTCATATATGACCAGGATCGCCGAGAGGTTAAGGCGTTGGACAAAAGATCCAATGGAAAAATGTCTATGTGAGTTGGAACCTTACTCCTGGTAGAGATTGACTCCATCTTTAACACCAAAGGCATCTCAATGTTTGATTTGCAATTTGGTTCTGTTTATCTTTGGGTTTTATTAAGAAATTTTAAGAAACTGAGACATACTTCAGGGAATTTGCAGAAAAAAAAGAATTTAACCAGGACTTTTCTGCATATAAGACCAGGATGGCTGAGAGGTTAAGGCGTTGGACTTAAGATCCAATGGACAAAT